GCCCTGGTCTGGTGGAGTGCGCATGGCGTGGGATGTGGTTGGCCGCGTCGGATGGTGGATTGGTGGTCCCAGGTGTATGCTAAGTAAGAAGGCACCACATAATATTGCCTCGCTGCACTTGCTGCCTTTCATGTCCGATATTTGGTCTGCCGCCTCCTCTGCCTGTCACTCTGCTCTCGCCTGTGCCCCCCGTTGCACACTCTCACTCGCTCGCTCGCTCTCCCACTCTCTCTCTCTTCTCGATGGAGAGGGCGAGGGGGGGGGGGGGGAGATCGAGTGCCAGCATGGACTCGGCATAGACTCGGCGCATGGATGGTGGTCGTGGACATGGCATTGCGACGTCGTCGTCGGCGTGGCGGCATAGTCGGCATTTCTAGCGTTCTAGCCTGCTCTCTTCCGAGAGTATGGCTATTCGTTTAGTGTCTCTCTGTCGTTTCGTCTCGTCACGTCGCTCGCCATCGTCCACAGCCCGTCGTCCATCGTCCAACGTCCGTCGCCTGGTGTCCGGCTCGATCCCGGTTCCCCCTTCGCAACTCTATACTAAACAGAAAAAAAAAAAAGATGCCAAAGATTTAATCACACAGCACGTTATTGCCGACACAGTCCACGTTGTGTGAAATGTGGCCAAACTCACCTCTCGCAATCATGCGATAAGCCACCTCATCTGCCAGCCAATTGCGCCAATTGTGCTCAATCGCAGACACAGCGCCTGCAGACCCGACAGCAACAACACCAAGGCCAATTAAATGCGCCATTGCAGCGCCAGCAACAACAAGAACAGCGCCAGCAGCCGTCACAACTGCCATTGCCAAAGCAAAAACAAAACAAATCCAAATTGCGCAAGCTAAAACAAAAATCAAATCGGGGTCAGATGGTTAATACGCAAATATTAACACGGCAACGGCAACAGTCAAATGTTAGCACTGCCGCCAACTTTCCCATCAACAATAATGATAACGCAAACAGCAATCTCATTGTCATTCCCGATCACTACATCAACACGGCTACTAATGCTAATCCCAACTCAAACTCTGTCAAAACAGCCAAAACAGCTTCCAGCTCGAATTTGGATCCACGTCTAAGATGGGCCAAAACTCAACAGCAAATGCAACGTCAATCTGAACAATTTGGTTCCGCCTTCACCCGAGACCAAGTTGTCCAGATGCAGCGCCAGCAGCTGGACGCGCTAACTATACGTGAAAATGTTGACTCTGCTCAGCACACGAATCGGCAAAAACTTCTGCAGATTGGTGTTGAGCAGCAGCCGATACAGCCGCTACAACAACAACAGCAAACGACAGCCACAAAAGAAAGCTCCCCAACAGAGCTATTACTCCAGCTTGCCCAACGCCAGCAGGAGCAGCTTGATAAGCTGACGGGCTCCATGAGCATCGTCCAGCAGCAAATGCAGGGATTCCTCCGACATGAAGTCGACTCCACGCTGCTGGCGACACCATCCTCATCAAGTATAAGCAGAGGCTCTGTTTAGTTTTCTCGTTGAAGCCCGTCAGCTTGCCCAATCCAAACCAAAATAGAACTCCTTTAAAACTTTGTTCAATCTTTGAAAACTCGAAAATAACAATATTAACGATCAAAGACACCCATTATTTACTCACCTGTCTTCCAATTACCTACCTTTCGTTTGTTATTTTCTCACACACCTTTCCATTATTACTGTCTTTTTAATTAAAAACTCTACCTGCTTATAAAAATCAAATGATACTCATTCCAAAACAAATATCTATGTGCTACATTAAGCACATACTCGTGTGCATACAACCCAAAACGTCCGCTATACATATATATATTTTCTGCATTTATTAATTGCGAGACATCAAGTTGCACGCACACGAATTCGCATGCTTGCGCATACACACACACACACACCATTGCCAACGCCCATGTGCAGGCATACTCACAAATTCGCCAGACAACAACAACATCAAAACAAACTCGCACTTCCCAGACAGGCCGTCGCCAGCCTATCTCGCTGTTCGCCCAAATTCGTCGGTCGTATACACTTCTTGCGCACACGACCTAACGGCGGCGCAGCAAACTCACCACAAAACAATAGATGAAGACGACGATGACTGTGCAACTTACAGTCAGCCCAAATGAGCCCAGCTGACTCCAGACGACCATCATCCTCACCACCACCATCATTGTTGTCTTCATCATCATTATCATCACCATCATCTTCTTCATCATTATTGTTTGCATCACTATCGCACATATAGCAGCGGCAACAGCAACAATAGCCACCGTTGAAACAATCTACATAACTCAACAATTAACATCAGCTAGCTGCTGCTCTTATTTTGGTTGACCTGATCCCACAATTATCAAAATTGTCCAATTTAGACATACACACTCACACACACACACTATCCTAGACATAGTCATACACCAAAATTGTATATATATTTATCTACTCACACAATTTTCTTTATAAACTTAATAATCCTTTTGCTCAAACAACTCTCTCATATACACATACATATATGTATATCTAAATAAATTTTGGCAATAGCCGGTGCTAGTAACCTAAACACCTGCCCTATGAGAGATAGCACCGGCTTTAGGGAAATTAATATTTCTAAAATATGCCATCATTTATATGTATATATATGTATGTGCAAAACTTAGTCAAATTGTGCCCACTTGCATTGAAATAACATATGGAGTAACGATTAAATAATATTTAGAAATCCATTGCAAGGTACTCAACATAAGAAGCACACACAGTCACACAAATGCACACATATCGATTGGCAGCGCAATTGACTGGCATACACCTCGGTGTCGCCACTCTTTGCCATAGCCGTCCAAAAAATGTTGATGCAAAACTGATAATCATAAAATTGTCTCGCTATTATCACGAGCAATCCAATTTCGCACACATAAACATGTACAAGCAAACGCACAAAATTGCTGGTATGTGTATGGCAACCAATAAACAATAACAATCAAAAATCAGATACGCCCACTGACTCAAAACTAAAATAAACTCAAAACTCCCATAGTTATTTCAATAGCACATCTTTCACAAATAGTATTACTAATAATAGTACTTCTCTCATAGACAAATTGCATAACAGCATAACACACTGCCAAAACTGCTGGCTTATGGTAAGCTCTGCTTACTGACGCCGCACCTTACACCAATTGTATGTTACAACCCACTCTACACCACACCATTAACTCTGTTAATTTACATATACATATATATTTAAGTTTTTGAATTATATATATATATATAACCATAAATTAATAATGTCTGAATATATACATTCTTGTATTGGCATAAAATTTGCCCAATACCATATTGTACACACGCATTGTACACGCATACACACACACACATCTAATTGTTTTACATTTAAGATTTACTCCAATATTGATCTTAATATTTATAACGTTATTTCACACATACATATCCATCGCAAAAGTAACATATATGAATAAATAAATTTCTGGGGCGATAAGGGAATTCGGGATCGAAGTCTCGGGCATCATGCTCCCGCTCAATCCATGTTTAGCTGAGTTAGAATCGCTGGTTGGCCCTGGTCTGGTGGAGTGCGCATGGCGTGGGATGTGGTTGGCCGCGTCGGATGGTGGATTGGTGGTCCCAGGTGTATGCTAAGTAAGAAGGCACCACATAATATTGCCTCGCTGCACTTGCTGCCTTTCATGTCCGATATTTGGTCTGCCGCCTCCTCTGCCTGTCACTCTGCTCTCGCCTGTTGCACACTCTCACTCGCTCGCTCGCTCTCCCACTCTCTCTCTTCTCGATGGAGAGGGAGAGGGGGGGGGGGGGGGGGGGAGAGCGAGTGCCAGCATGGACTCGGCATAGACTCGGCGCATGGATGGTGGTCGTGGACATGGCATTGCGACGTCGGCGTCGGCGTGGCGGCATAGTCGGCATTTCTAGCGTTCTAGCCTGCTCTCTTCCGAGAGTATGGCTATTCGTTTAGTGTCTCTCTGTCGTTTCGTCTCGTCACGTCGCTCGCCATCGTCCACAGCCCGTCGTCCATCGTCCAACGTCCGTCGCCTGGTGTCCGGCTCGATCAATGCTCCCCCCTCGCAACTCTATACTAAACAGAAAAGAGCATTATAATTATTCAATATGCAACTTGCTTTCCGCTCTGCATACTAGAATAGAGACAATGCCAAGACCGCAACCGTGTATGTTCTAGTTATGCTGTCGGCAGCTTGTTCATGTTACAACCATCCACTCCTAATAAACTTTTGCATCATTCATTTGATGTCTTTGTCATTTATCCAGTTGCACAGTCACACAACATCACCCATAAATAAACTTACTCTATACATTAAAAATCCATCGCACGTCAGTCTCTATGAGAGGGGAGACGCACAAACGACAACGCATGGTAACCAGTTAAAATACTTTGTCATACCTGGCATTGCAGCAGCAGGGTATTCTAAGATGTTTTTTAGCCCTGCCTCTTGTCTCAAGCAGCAGTTTTTTCATCCAAGTTGCCCTGCACTCTTGCCATTTTTACGTCACCTCCTCTCCCTTACAGCACATTATCAGAACAGCCGGCTTATGGCATTCAAAATACTAGTAATGCTGTCACCGCTTTCAGTCTAAAGATGTTATGCTCAATTAATCACAATCAATTACAAAGAAGAAATGAGACAAACATAATTACACTTGCTATATCATACCGGGATAAAACCCTAAACTATATCAAATCAAAGTATTGTGATTATATTAAGCTTAAAATTTTGTAACTGGAATTTGTAAACATCTATCCTAAATAAATCCGGACAAAGCTTGGCTGCCTACATATGAATGTGGAGCGTGTTTGTTTGGAATGTGTTTCTGCACCATGGTCAAGTGGGAACCAATTCCTCCTGTGTGTTCACTCATATTCCATTCACACACTCGCTTCCATTTGGATGTATGGTATCTGTAAATGCTCTGTCAATATAAAGGAATTATGATTTAAATTCCCCAAAGCCAGCACAAAGTTGCACCAACCACGCCTTCATTTTGAACTGCTCAGCCAACATGAGCCATCACTCTCACAGCCGATTTACATTGTGATCCAAGCAGCCAGTGTAGAAGACACCAATTTAATACCATTACCTGCTCCACCAAGATGAGCCAAAAAGCAACTTACGTTGCAAACTAGGCAAATATTTCATCGAAATATCGTACTGCCTGTGACAATATGCACAAACTCATTACCAGTTCAACAGCTCCACCACGAGCCAAAGCAACCAAAACGCTATACAAACGCCATACTAACACCATTATTACAACAGCTCAGCCAACAAGAGCCAATAACTGCACAACCGATTTACACTGTGCCAAGCCAAAATAGTAATCTATTTCTCTCACCCAAGATCCAGCATACCATCGACTTGCAACTGTTCCACAATCCCAACTGGAATCACCGCATAAATAACCCATAACAACTCCGTGGAGTCGCTAAGGACCACCAGGTTAGTCTAAGTTGGGACTCATTGCCCAACACTACTTACATTTTATGAACCATTAATCATCTCGTTTGAAAGTATTTAGATTGTCCTATGGAGCAGCACATATTGCCGTCAACGACCAGCAGTAATTTCAAATATGGATCATATTTGCCTGCCGCTGATCTGCTCTATGCATGTGTGTAAAATGTACGCACTTTCATACTGTGTCAATACCCAGTGCTCCAACGGTGAACATCTGATGCCAGCCTCTGATTCGACTGTGCCAGTGCCAACCGCCCAAAGGACTCCAATCTTTAACATAAATACAAATAGGTTCCCAAATTGGGAAGATAGTCAGACTAGTATACTTAAGATTGTCAATTCAAATCCATGTCTCCTAGTGGCCAATGCCAAGAATTCCAAATAATATTGTTAAATTTCAAATTCAAAATTTCAAATCAAATGTATTCGTACTCATGCATGTACACCAGTCTGATGGCCAATGCCATGTCTATAGCCAATATTGTAAACTCCAAATTTATATATCAATTGCATTTGTACACATCATGTACACCAGTCCGCTGGCCATTGCCAAGCATTATAAACAATATTGTTAACTTCCAAATTTTAAATCAATTGTATTTGTAGTCATACATGTACACCAGTCAGGTGGCCAATGCCATGTTTCTAACCAATATTGTAAATTCCAAATTCATATACCAATTCATTTGTGCACATTATGTACACCAGTCAGGTGGCCAATGCCATGTTTATAAACAATATTGTCAAATTCCAAATTTAAAATACCAATTGTATTTGTACTCATCATGTACACCAGTCTGAGCTGCCATTGCGAAATATTCCATAAACCAATCATTGTCACATTATGTTCACTAGTCCTGTTAAACTTACAAATTGTTAAACCTCAATTGTATTTGTACTCATACATATACACCAGTCAGGTGGCCAATGCCATGTTTATAAACAATATTGTAAATTCCAAATTTAAATACCAATTGTATTTGTACTCATCATGTACACCAGTCCGCTGGCCATTGCCATATTTATAAACAATATTGTAACTCCAAATTTAAATACCAATTTCATTTGTAGCACACTATGTACACCAGTCCAGCTGGCCATGCCAGTATTCATAAACAATATTGTTAAGCTCCAAATTTAAATACCAATTGTATTCGACATGCACTAAGTGCACCAGCCTGACTGGCCATTACCAAGTCTTCTAGCCAATATTGTAAATTCCAAATTCACATACCAATTGAATTTGTACACATTATGTACACCAGTCCTGCTGGCCAATGCCATGTTTATAGCCAATATTGTTAAATTCCAAATTTATATACCAATTCATTTGTACACATCTATGTACACCAGTCCGCTGGCCATTGCCAAACATTATAAACAATATTGTTAACTTCCAAATTTTAAATCAATTGTATTTGTACTCATACATATACACCAGTCGGATGGCCAATGCCATGTTTATAAACAATATTGTTAATTCCAAATTTCAAATCAATTGTATTTGTACACATTATGTACACCAGTCAGGCGGCCAATGCCATATTTATAAACAATATTATCAATTCCAAATTTAAATACCGATTGTATTCGAATGCACTAAATGCACCAGCCTACTGGCCATTACCAAGTCTTCTAATCAATATTGTAAATTCCAAATTCACATACCAATTGTATTTGTACACATTATGTACACCAGTCTGATGGCCAATGCCATGTTTATAGCCAATATTATAAATTCCAAATTTATATACCAATTGCATCAGTGCGCATACACGCGCAAGCATAGTTATCTCCAGAATTAATTACAAGCTCGGCCAATATGAGACATGGCCAATTTACAATAACATAACATCCAGATCCTCTATTTCTTATGCTAACACGCATAAACGTTAAAGTTTAACCCTGTCAAGTGATCATCGATACATCGATACACTGATCTTGATACGATATTTGTCTCCCTCTGCCTCTATTCTTGAAATCGTCATAAGCTGCGAGTTGTCTCTACAAAGTGAATGCAAAAGTGAAATTGGCGGGAGCTGAAAATACCATCGAGCGTGAAAACTTATAAAAAAAACTCGTAAAAACCCGAAAGTGAAAAAAAAAAAATAATAATTACCTTTACAAAGATAAAGTGCGTGAAAATAACGAATTGAGCGATTTAAATAAAAGTAAGTCTCAGAAAATTTAAAAGTGTCCATAAAAGTCCCAAATAGCCGGTGTCTGTCTGTGTGTGTATGGCCATATGTGCCAATATAAGCAATTAATATTAAATAATTGCAAGTGAAATATAAATCATAGCCACATTTAAGTGGAACATTGATCAAATTCTCTCTCTGTCCATAATAATTCCCAAAATAGTGCGCACAAAATTAATTAATAATTAATCCACAATAGTGGAAAACAAATGGTGTCCGTCTGCAAAAATAAATTCATATATTGCAATAAAAATTAAATCCAGTGAATATATAACCAATTCAAGCTAGTCAAACTCCAGGAATGTCCAAAGGAGTCTCAAAATAGTGCGCGAATAATTACTCCACAATTTGGGAATTGGCCGGTGTCTGTCTGTGAATTTTTTTGGGGAAATTAATTGAAGGCCTAATATCCAACTAAATAGTGAGAAACACTAAATCAAGTCAAAATTCCATAATTTTCGGGGTAAGTCTCGTACCAAATTTTATGTCCAAGGTCTCAAGATGCGTAGCACAAAAACTTTTACCAGAAGCGTCACTTGTACATACACACTCGCAGCTGCAGACGTCTATGATTTTTGGCGACGGTCTTGTTGGCGCCAGCCCAAGCCGACGCGTATGTACATACATACACATAACCTCTCTTCGAATTCTCTCTTGCTGCCCGGCATTGCCAGGCCGAATTATAAACTCAACTCTATACTACATATATTTATATTTATGTATTTATATACTTATTTTTAAGCCTTTCTACAATTTAATGCATACACTCAAAAGTATGCTTTCAAATTTTGAAAGTTCACCCATGTCCATACATACATAGGTGCAGCTGTGAACGCTTTGATTTTTGGCGGCCACTGCTGACACTTGTGCACATACCTACTCAGTTTTCTCAAAACTTCTTTGCCATTTTCTGCATTACCAAAATAAGAACAGTTATGATTCAGGGTCTCTGGGGAATTTAGTAGTCCGTCCGCAATTGAATAAATTACTTATCCCAATAAGTAAAGAATTGACTAGTTAAAACCTGTCGTAAGTCCAGCAATTAAAACGGACCAGATCAACAGCTCGGCCAATTAGAGACAAATTATCACCCAATAACTGCATAGCCAAAGTAAATATGCCTCAAAGCCAGCACAAAGATGCACCAACCACGCCTTCATTTTGAACTGCTCAGCCAACATGAGCCATCACTTTCACAGCCGATTTACATTGTGATCCAAGCAGCCAGTGTAGAAGACACCAGTTTAATACCATTACCTGCTCCACCAAGATGAGCCAAAAAGCAACTTATGTTGCAAACTAGGCAAATATTTCATCGAAATATCGTACTGCCTGTGACAAATATGCACAAACTCATTACCAGTTCAACAGCTCCACCACGAGCCAAAGCAACCAAAACGCTATACAAATGCCATACTAACACCATTATTACAACAGCTCAGCCAACAAGAGCCAAAACTGCACAACCGATTTACACTGTGCCAAGCCAAAATAGTAATCTATTTCTCTCACCCAAGATCCAGCATACCATCGACTTGCAACTGTTCCACAATCCCAACTGGAATCACCGCATAAATAACCCATAACAACTCCCGTGGAGTCGCTAAGGACCACCAGGTTAGTCTAAGTTGGGACTCCTTGCCCAATATTAAGAACAATTTATGATTTAGGGTCTCTGGGGGAATTTAGTAGTCCGTCCGCAATTGAATAAATTACTTATCCCAATAAGTAAAGATATTGACTAGTTAAAACCTGTCGTGAGTCCAGCACAGTTAAAACGGACCAGATCAACAGCTCGGCCAACTAGAGACAATATATCACCCAATAACTGCATAGCCAAAGTAAATATGCCCCAAAGCCAGCACAAAGTTGCACCAACCACGCCTTCATTTTGAACTGCTCAGCCAACATGAGCCATCACTTTCACAGCCGATTTACATTGTGATCCAAGCAGCCAGTGTAATATGACACCAGTTTAATACCATTACCTGCTCCACCAAGATGAGCCAAAAAGCAACTACAATATTTAGTTGCAAACTAGGCAAATATTTCATCGAAATATCGTACTGCCTGTGACAATATGCACAAACTCATTACCAGTTCAACAGCTCCACCACGAGCCAAAGCAACCAAAACGCTACACAAACGCCATACTAACACCATTATTTACAACAGCTCAGCCAACAAGAGCCAATAACTGCACAACCGATTTACACTGTGCCAAGCCAAAATAGTAATCTATTTCTCTCACCCAAGATCCAGCATACCATCACTTGCAACTGTTCCACAATCCCAACTGGAATCACCGCATAAATAACCCATAACAACTCCGTGGACTTGCTAAGGACCACCAGGTTAGTCTAAGTTGGGACTCCTTGCCCAATTATTAAGAACAATTATGATTTAGGGTCTCTGGGGGAATATTTAGTAGTCCGTCCGCAATTGAATAAATTACTTATCCCAATAAGTAAAGAATTGACTAGTTAAAACCTGTCGTAAGTCCAGCAATTAAAACGGACCAGATTAACAGCTCGGCCAACAAGAGACAATATATCACCCAATAACTGCATAGCCAAAGTAAATATGCCTCAAAGCCTGCACAAAGTTGCACCAACCACGCCTTCAATTTGAACTGCTCAGCCAACATGAGCCATCACTTTCACAGCCGATTTACATTGTGATCCAAGCAGCCAGTGTAGAAGACACCAATTAAATACCATTACCTGCTCCACCAAGAAGAGCCAAAAAGCAACTTATGTTGCAAACTAGGCAAATATTTCATCGAAATATCGTACTGCCTGTGACAATATGCACAAACTCATTACCAGTTCAACAGCTCCACCACGAGCCAAAGCAACCAAAACGCTATACAAATGCCATACTAACACCATTATTACAACAGCTCAGCCAACAAGAGCCAAAACTGCACAACCGATTTACACTGTGCCAAGCCAAAATAGTAATCTATTTCTCTCACCCAAGATCCAGCATACCATCGACTGCAACTGTTCCACAATCCCAACTGGAATCACCGCATAAATAACCCATAACAACTCCGTGGAGTCGCTAAGGACCACCAGGTTAGTCTAAGTTGGGACTCTTTGCCCAACACTACTTACATTTTATGAACCATTAATCATCTCGTTTGAAAGTATTTAGATTGTCCTATGGAGCAGCATATATTGCCGTCAACGACCAGCAGTAATTTCAAATATGGATATATTTGCCTGCCGCTGATCTGTTTTATGCATGTGTGTAAAATGTACGCACTTTCATACTGTGTCAATACCCAGTGCTCCAACGGTGAACATCTGATGCCAGCCTCTGATTCGACTGTGCCAGTGCCAACCGCCCAAAGGACTCCAATCTTAAACATAAATACAAATAGGTTCCCAAATTGGGAAGATAGTCAGACTAGTATGCTTAAGATTGTTAATTCAAATCCATGTCTCCTAGTGGCCAATGCCAAGCTTTTCAAATAATATGTCAAATTTAAAATTCCAATTCTAAATCAATTGTATTTGTACTCATGCATGGCCAACGCCAAGTCTTTAAGCAATATTGTCAATTTCCAAATTTTAAATTTCAAATCAATTGTATTTGTACTCATACATATACACCAGTCAGGTGGCCAATGCCATATTCATAAACAATATTGTCAATTCCAAATTTAAATACCAATTGTATTCGAATGCACTAAGCGCACCAGCCTACTGGCCATTACCAAGTCTTCTAATCAATATTGTAAATTCCAAATTCACATACCAATTGAATTTATACACATTATGTACACCATCCTGCTGGCCAATGCCATGTTTATAGCCAA